AGAACCAGAAACCAAGAATCAGATAATATAACCATAGTGAAGCACAGAAGAATGCTGCTACACACCAGTTATAAATTGTTCTTTTTTCTGTAGGTTGAGCAGATATTTCACTTTAGGGATGAAGTCACCGAGACAAAGTATGTCTGTATTTATTTATCAATCACCTTTTAAAATTATTTATTTATTGTTGTGTTTTTGAGACATTCTTGCTATGCAGTTTAGGTTGCTCTTGAGCTCACTTGTAGCCCAGGCTGATCTCAGACTTGGAACAATTCTCCTGGGTCAGACTCCCGAGTTCTGGGATTACAGGTGTGCATCACCACAGTCACTATCAATCACCTGTTGAATATGTGCTATGTGTTGGTTACCAAAAGGATTGTTGTGAGCAATTATGTTCATTCTCAAGATCATTAGCTTCCTTTTCTTACTCCCATTCCATTGTTCAGTTTATTATTATTAATTTGAAGGGAAAACAGAGAGAGAGACAGAGAGAGACACGAGAGAGACAGAGAGAGACAGAGAGAGAATTATACACTGCTCTTGAAAGAAACATCCTAATGCAACTCACTCATTTAATATATTCAAGCAGATTTTCTCTGTTTTCTGTCCTTAAATCCTAAAGTCTCTGTACAACCTTATAAACTACTTGAGTTTCAGAGGCTAGAAAGCCAAATTCTGCATTTCTCAGACTTTTCTGCATCTTATTTTGGACATTGGCTAGGTAACCTCAAAAGAGATTTGGATACTGTGAATGCTGTGAATGTTGTTTATGAGGACAACAAGTTTCAACAACATGCTGTTGCTAAGCAATGCTACTTAAGTATATTGATTTTGTGTTGTTAACACCAAACTGTGATACATAGTAGAATGTAAAAATCTGTCAAAAAAGTAGAGGGGTGAATATTATTTGAATTCGTTGTTTGATCAGTTTCATAATGAAGCATATGCAACAAAACCTTTAAGGCTTCATGATATTTTACATCATTCAGCAGATTAGTGTGTACAGCTTTTGCTGAGAAAAACAGTTATTCTTTCTTAGATATATTACAATTGCAATTGAATACTCAGGATGCTTATTTACAGGCAGGAAATGTTTACCTTGAATTCCACTGCATGCACTGTTACCAACACAGTGTCAGGTAAAAGTTATAGAGTCTTACTGTCCTATAAACAATGATGGACTTGAGTTATTTGTGGGAAAATGGATACACTTTGAGACTATAATTTAAGCAAATTAAATCAGACACACAAGCTTAAATATCACATGATCTCTTATATGAGGAGCCCAAAATATAGATAAATAATAGAGCAAACTAAAAGATAATAGGAAATGGAACTTTTGCAAAGGAAAAGGGACCAAGAGATGGAGGGAGGAGTGAGAGAAGTTAGGAGAAGGGATGAAAAATAAAAACTTAAAATGTGCTACATACAGATACCAACTCCCCATGATGGATGTAATACTTATGTAGCCTAAATATGTGCAAACAAAACAAAGGTTTAAAGTAGACTCCGTTGTGAGTGAAGCAGTGGAAGGACAGGAGGATGACGACAGTTCACACTGGGCAGTGGAGTCAGCCCCTGCTGAGCTCCTCTGGGGAATGATGCAGCTTCGCTCAGAAGCCCACCTTCGCGCCCATCCCAGCAACATCTGTGTCCTTTCTTGAAAAACTTCCCTCTCCCGAGGAACTATACCCTAGACACTTCTATTAGGACTTCCTCAGCAAAAACTTCAGTCTTGGGCTTGGGGATTTAGCTCAGCAGCATAAGCACCTGCCTTGCAAGCAGGCAGTCTTGAGTTTGATCCCTGGTGCCCATAAAAAAAAAAAAAATTCACTCTCTCAAAAGATCATTCTCGACACCTGGAGAGTCCAGCCCATGGCTCATGGGGCTACATGAGACTCTCAACAGTTAACAAACTGACTATATAAGGTTGTAAACTTTTAACCATATTTTGTGATTTTAGTGGGATTTTTTTTTGATGATTTGATTGCACATGCTTTCATTCAGACTGCAGGCAATGGAATGCTATGTTCACAAAATCAAGCCAAATCTGCACGTATCAGGCATTATATGAACTTGTACAGCTTGAATAGTGAAATGCAGAGTGAAATACTATCAAAAGTAGTATTTCAGCCTACTTACATGTGTGTATGTCTGGAGGACAGACGTTTATTATTATTAAGCAGATGCATACATTTCACATTTAACTTGGGTTTATTGTTTTGTAAAATAGTATCATAAATTAAAATCATATTTTAGCAGCTGTGGTGTAGGAAATACAAAACTACATTAAATATGTTTTTGTGGGGGCTGGGGATTTAGCTCAGCGGCATAAGTACCTGCTTGCAAGCAGGCGGTCGTGAGTTCAATCCCGGGTACCGATAAAAATGAAAAAAAAAAAAAAAGACAAAAAAATATATGTTTTTTGCTCATGACACCGTTATAATTACATAGACAGCATCACTAATACTAGTGATTTATTATTTTTATTAAATTTAATCGCTAAAAATAAGAACCACATGATCATTTCTATAGGTGCAGAAAAAGTTTTTGATAAGATTCAGCACTTACTCATGATAAGAACCTTGCAGAAAATTAGAATAGACAGTCTTTACTTCAATATGATAAAGGCCATCTATGATGAACCAACAGCCAGCATCATATTAAATTGCCAAAAACTGAAGGCCTTTAACCTAAAATCAGAAACAAGACAAGGATGTCCATTATCACCGCTCCAATTCAATATAGTACTGGAAATACTAGCCAGAGCAATTAGATGAGAGAGAAATAAAAGGAGTAAGGATAAGAAAAGAAAAAGTTAAATAATCATTATTTGTAGATGACATGATACTCTACATAGAAGACCTCCAAAACTCCATTGAAAGACTCATAGGTATAATAAATAAATTCAGTAATGTAGCTGGATACAAAGTCCACATTCAAAAATCAATAGCATTCCTATACATTAACAACAAAATCACTAAGAGAGAAATAAGAGAAGCTACATCCTTCACAATAACATCCAAAAAAAAATTAAATACCTAGGAATCAATCTAACAAAAGAAATAACAGATCTATTCAGGGAAAATTATAATACACTGAAAAAGAAATTGAAAAGAATCTCAAAAAATGGAAGGACATTCCCTGTTCATGGATACAAAGAACAAATATTATGAAAATGGCCATTCTCTCAAAAATTTTATTCATATTTAATGCAATCCCAATCAAAATATCATTAGTATACCTCACAGACCTAGAGAAATCATTTGTAAAATTCTTCTGGAACCAGAAAAGACCTAGAATAGCAAAGAAATTTCTGAGCCACAAAGGCAAGGCAAGAGGCATCACAAACCCTGACTTCAAGTTATACTACAAAGCTACTGTAATAAAATCAGCATGGTACTGAAATAAAAACAGACCTGAAGATCAATGGAAAAATCAGAAGATACAACTACAACTACAAACACACTCAGTCACCTTATCTTTGATAAAGGCACCAAACACATTCACTAGAAGAAAGATAGTCTCTTCAATCAGTGGCGCTGGAAGAATTTGCTCTCCATATGCCAAAAACTAAAACTAGACCCATGCCTATCACCATGCACTAAACTAATGTCTAAATGAATCAAAGACCTAATATTAAAACAGAAACACTAAATCTATTGGAAGACAAAGTAGGTAGAAATCTTGAAGACATAGGGGTAGGTAGAGAATTCATGAACAAGAATCAAACCATACGTGAAATACTTCACAGAATCAATAATTGGGACCATGTCCTATTAAAGACTTTGCGCATGTAGAAAGAAATCTCCAGCATTGTGAAAATAAAGCCCAGAAATTGGGAAAAAAATCTTAGTGAACTGTCCCTCAAACAAAGGACTTCTGTCCAGAACATACAAAGAATTGAAAAAAGTCAGATCCCCAAAATTCAAAGACCCATTCCAAAAATGGACATCTGAGATGAATACACAGTTCTCAAATGAAGAAATACAAATGGCAAATAAATAAATAAATGAAAAAATGGTCAGCATTATTGGTCATTAAAGAAGTAAAATTAAAACCACGCTGAGATTCCATCTCACTCCAGAAAGAATGGCCAGGATCAAGAAAACTACCAAGAAAAGAATGCCGGAGAAGCTGTAGGGTAAAAGGAACTCTTCAGCACTGTTGGTGGAAGTGAAGACTGGTGTAACCACTGTGAAAGTCAGTCTGGAGAACCCATAAAAAGCTGGAATTGGAAGTCACATTTGACCCAGCTATCCCACTTCTGGGCATATTCCCTGAAAAACTGAAAACATCATACCACAGTGATATATGTGCACCATTGTTTATAGCAGCACAATTTGTAATAGCCAGGTTGGAAACAACCTAAATTCCCATCAACTGAGGAATGGATAAAAAAAAAATGTGGCATTTTTATACAATGGAGTACTATTCAGCTATAAAGAATGATCACATTGAGATATTTATAAGTAAATGAATACAACTCGAGACCATTCTCATAAGTGAAATAAATTAAACTGACATGTGTAAATACCATATAATCTCCCTAGTGTAAGAAATGGTAAGAGTATATAAGATACAAAAAACTCAATAAATACAGTGAAATGATAAGAATCTGCTTAAAGGGGAAAAATAATATTTCTGGGAAAATGAGGAAAAATGAAAAAGAAGAGAAAAGAAAAATATATGTAATTATATAAACACACTTAGGATAACTAAGATGATTGTGCTACAAACTGTAAGTATTTGGAACAAAACAGTTAACATTCGAGGAATTGCAACAATTGTGCATATTATTGTATGGTGATCTGAGGAACTCTTAAAGATCATTACGTAAAATAACAATCCTAGTTATGCTTCTACCACCTTGTTTGGAAGGCCTATATTGTCAGTGTTGTGGGCTTTTTGTTATTGTGATTTATTTTTCTTTTTTGTTTCATGTTTTTCAAGGAATTTGTTTTGTTTTGTGTTCCCCTCTAATACAGAAAGAACAAGTATACATATAGAGACTTCTCCTAAACAGTTTATGAGAATCGATTATATCACGCACAATGAAATGAACAGCTACTTTAAAGAAAAGGAGCCATTAAGGCACCCGGTGCTGATTCTGTAGCATCATGCTATGAAATCCAGCAATGCTGTTATTCTTTCCTCAGAGTGATGTGACTCTCTTTTGTATTGTTTAATTTCAGGAGACATGCAGGGAGGGAAAGCTAATTTGAAGAGAACACGAAGCATGACATGGCAGCCACTGTTGCCTTCCCTATTATTTGTTTTTGAAGTCCTAAAATGCCTCCATCATCCTGTTCTGATCAGTTTAATACTATTTTGTTTTGTATGAATTCATTGCATGTGAAGATATGGACACTATTTAAAGGAAAACAAGAGACAATATGATAGCCAGTGAAGATCTCCTGTTGTCTTGCTTTGAAATCTGTCTCTTACATTGTTTTCTTCTGATCTGTTTTGTTCTAATTAATTTTACCCTCTTTAAAATAAAATTTAAATTTAAATTTACTGACTGTTAAAAATGTATTTTTTTTTCAATTCCAGAGTGGCTTCAACTTTATCTCAAAAGAGAACACAGTCCTTCCAAAAAGAAAATTAGCAATAAGGAAGAATATTCTACCAAAAAAGGAAAGATGAGTACTGTGTTGCCTGGACAAATAGTAAGGCACTATGTTTAATTTGTAGGGAAATCATATCAGCTTCCAAAGATTATAATTGGAAAAGGCATTGTATGCAAAAACATGCCACCAAATTAGATGTACATCAGGGATATTTCTTACAGACTAAATAACAAAACTCTGAAACGGTTACAACTCACATGAATTCTCTTATAAAAGCTACTTATATGAAATTAAACCTGATTACAAAAAATACTAAAACCATTTATCAATGGTGGCTTTATTAAGTAATCTATAAAAACATGGCAACTATAATATGATCTGATGAAAAAGCAGATTACCTAGAAAATCACTTTGTCTTACTAGAATATTGCCAAGCTAATTAAAGAAACAGGAAAAATATATCAAAAGAGATTTAAAGGTAAAGCTTTAAATTTCTTATTTTGGGTTTTAGATGAAAGTGCTGATGCTACAGATACAGTGAACTTGCCATTTTTACTAAAGTATTGAAAAAAAAATACAATATCATTGAAGAAATGACTTCTATGATGACATTCAATAATACAGCTAAATGTTGATTTATATAAAAGTAAAAAAATACAATAAAGCTAAATTTCTTTGACTTTTGAAAACATAGCTGGTATAGCTACTTTTGGCTCCCTGATGATTAGTAAGAATGAGAAATTTATAAAATTATACAAATGATATAATTGCCACCTGAAGCTCACATTTGATGAAATATTGCATCATTCATCAAGAAAATTTATTTGGGAAAGTTTTAGGAGTGGATAATGCTGTGCAAATGGTCCTCACAGCTGTGATTCCATAAGGTCCAAGGGACGGAATTGTTTTTTCCAGGAATTCTTTCAAAGTATGGATGCTGACTATGGGGACACAATTTAGTTTTTTGAAGTTGAGCAGCTTGGAGGAAATGTTGAAAAGATTGTATGATTTGTGAAATGAAATCAAGTCATTTATGAAATCAAAAGGAAAATTTGTGCCAGAAATTGAAGATGAAAAACAGACTCAGATTTAGCTTTTTTGGTGGATTTGATTGCTCATTTACATGAGTTAAATATGTGTACTCAATGTGAAAATCAACTTATCTGTATCATGTCACAAACCAAAAACAATGTTCAAAGTGAAACGTGTGGCAAGGTTATGAAACACAATAAATAGTTGTGCTATTTATTTAATTATTAAATATTTCCATGTGCTATCGGAAATGGTACTTATATATTTTTTTCTTAGGTAACTTCTGAAGGATGTGCTCCCCAAATGCAAGGCTGCAAAGAAAAGAAAAACAAAACAAAAAAAGATACAATATTTGGGGCATGTAAGAAGAGTAAAGCCAGCTGAAATCGTTACAAGATAGATGTTGCTTAGACACAGAAAGCAAGTAGCACAGATTGGAAGAAAGGGATGGTGTTACCAGCATGAATTCTTTCAGAATAAGAAACAGAGAATTGAAGGGGTATCGGGTAAGTTTAGCTGTATGGAAGTATTGTGTTGAAAAATATTTACAAACTTATTTGTGATGTTAAGAAACCATACCTGTAGGTCCAAACAAAACTAAGCAAATAAAAAATAAAACAATTTTAACTTCAGAAAAAACAAAATGTTGCCATAAGAAAGTAAAATCAAAATGCTATATTTGGCATAGCATCAAGCCATAGTCATAATAAGAAAAAGGATAAGACAAAAATTTTTAGATCTTTACTATGGGAAAAGTTAAACATACATAAACTTAGAAAGGTAATATTTAAGGACTTTTCACCCAAATTCAGTAACTATCAATCTTTCAAAAATTTTCACTCCTTTAGAAAAAATGGACTACACTCCTATCATTGAACTACTCAAGTTGATAATTTTTTTTTTCTGTCTTTCTGTGTTTCTGGGGATTGAATTTAAGATATTACTCATCTTAGGCAAATTCTCTGCTGAAGAATTCTGTCAACACTAAGTCCCAACAGTATTTTCCTACTATTCTTGGTGTTCACAATTCTCCAGTCTCCCTTAGGAGTATTGCTTTCACTTTTACAGTAACTTTTAAGAACCAGAATCCAAAAATTAGTAATTCATTTTAATACATTAATGTCGTTATTTTTCTTCATTCTGCAGATTTCTCTTCCATTTCTTTTTTGTTCTTTTTCTTCCCATGAATTTTTTTTATTAGAAAGTAGATTAACTTTTCCAAAAAATGTATGAGAGTATAAATTTTCTTATTTTACCCCATGGCATTATTGAACATAACTGAACCATGCCAAATATGTTTAAATTCATGTGTTTCTGATGACATTAAAAGATATTTTATTGGTTATTTTGGGGGGAAACAAAGAAACCAACTCACTAAATTAAAAGCTAGTACATTAAATAATTAGCATCTACTATGAATTTTCTATTTAAACGATATGATAGGGAAACAATTTATGAAGGTAAATTTAACAATTAAATGTGTTTGAGGTAATAAATGAAGAAGCAGGTAGAATTAGTTCACAAACTTTTATGAATTTATGAATGTAGTTATTAACTATACAAAGAGAGCAAACCAGGCAGTACATCATCTATGAAGTCATTTTGGTTTTAAAAATAAAGTCATATTCGAATCTGAGTTTTAAATTTACTTCTAAACTGGGCACAGTGATACACACCTGTAATCCCAGCACTTGGGAGGTTGAGGCAGGAGGATTGCTGTGAGTTCAAGGCCAGGCTGAGCCATATTAATGAGTACAAGGGCTGCCTAAACTACATAATGAGACCACGTCTCAAAAAAAAAAAAAAAAAAAAAAAATCCACTTACACATACATAAGGTAAAATCAAAATAAATGACATACTAGCTAACTTAGAAATTATGACAAAGTCATCAGAGAATAAAAGGAAGCTTAGGAAAGGATTAAAAGTTCTCAAGTGTGCTGATTAAAAACAATAAATAAATACAATAAAAACAATAGCTGACATTAAGTGTACATATTATTTAGAAATATGGAGATAAATGTTAATCACTGAATGAATTTAAGGGGTGAGCAGATGAAGAAAGAAAAAGGTGGAATGGAACTTTTGTTCATTTTTGGTTTCATGGTGCGATCCGCAGTTTTTTGGGGATTTTTGGTACTGGGGATCAAACTCAGGACCTCTCGCTTGCCAGGCATGTGCTTGTGCAACTGCACTAAATCCCCAGCCCTTTGTAGTTTTTGAGTTACTCTAAAAAATAATTTTAAAATTAAATATCAGAAGAATAGAAATTTCCAAATTGAACGTCTGCTTCCGGTACCGCCCACAGTCGTTGCTCACCCCTTATTGCACGCAGGTTTCCTGCCTGTGGTTATTTTATGGCCGCTGGGTTGTGTTTCACGACGCGCCCCTTCTGCCCCTCAGGCAGTCCGCCGTGGGGGTGCTCCCCTGCTCAGCACCCCTCTCAGTCTCAGGAGGGTTCCCGCGAGGACAGGAACTCAGAACCACTCTGCAAGCACCTGCCAAGGGTTTTACTTCTGGGAACTGTTCCAAACTTCTCCAGCTCCCCAGATACTTCAAACAGAGTTGAAAAAAGTTTCTAACCCAGAGTTATTGGAGAGAGCCCACAAGTCACCGGAAAGAAGGGGTCCCCTTTGTCTTTTTAACTGACTCTTTCAACACAAATTTTAGCTCTGAGATGATGGATGAGACAAAGACCTAGACAAAGACCATACTGGTCATGAATGCATAAATATTCTTTGTCTTTCCCCATTACTTCCTCTTCAGTATTCTTTTCTGCATAGATTCTTGAAAATTAAATTATCATTTCAAATCCAATACCTTTTTCTGTTCATTTCTGAAGTTTGGAATTACAGTAAACACTCACTGGCATAAAGCCAAATGATTATTCATTTAATATCAGAGTAACTACCAACTTCTTTCAATGTTCTTGTCAGGATTTTCTTTCCTCCTTTCTGAATTATATAAACGTCAGGACACTCTCTTTTATTTCTCTCAAAGAAATACAGTGTCATGATTCTATCAGAAGCATATGTGTAAAAGTTCTTTTGAAATGTGAAAAGCTGTAAGTAGTAGTTATAATTTACTTCTTTTCAAACATATACAAGAAAAGATAGCAAAAGTTACCACTTCGTTATGCAAGTTTCATGACCTACAGCAAAGAGTTTATAGATTTCAGGGCAATCTGTGTACTGAGAATTTTGTTAAAGATTAGGTAATCTTCTAGTGATCTGCTGCTCCTAATTTTGTATAACATTTCAATTCTGTATGCTTAATACATTTTTAAAAATCAGTAGAAAATACCATTTTCCAAAATGAAGATAGAAAAAACATGAATTAGTCATAGGAGATGGTACAAATTAATGAGCTAAATAAACAGAAATTTCATAAACTGTGGGGTTCTGAGTGCACTATAATTTCAAGAAAATTATTATGAACAGAGGGCCAAGAATAATAACTTGATGGAACTCTATCATTGTCTCCTCTCTTTCTTTTCCCCCACCCCATTCTTTCAGATCTTTATTATTATATACTTTTCAAGTTACTTTTACATATGTGGTTCCTGTTTATCAGTCACTTAAACTGAGTGGTAATTGTCTTTCAAACCAAATGTGAATTTTATTTTCGTAAACTTTATCTTGGCAATCTGATTTTTATTTTTAAAAGTTCAAAAATGTTCTTGTTTGATTGGAAAGTCATTTACAGAACTTCTCCGCTTCTCTGAAAATGTAACCTTGTTCCTGTCAGTTGGCTTAATGCTCCACACATGTTTTCTCACTTAAACTTTGCCTCATTTGGCTGTGGTTTTTAAATGTAGCCTTTGAAACCATCTCTAATGGAAAAATGCAGCTGTGAGCAAGATTTCCTAAAATGTACATGGAATTAATTTTCCAGGCATTTCATGCAAGGGCCCTGATGTATCTAAAGGAGAAGCTGCGCCAAAGAGTTTTAATGCAACCAATGAAAGAGGGAGGCCGCCAGCAAGGAGGAGAAGGAGCAGACAGGACAGGACACAGTCAAAGGGAAATGGCGAGGAGGAAAAGAGATGGGTGTGAAAGCTGAGCAAGACAAAAGAAAAATAAATATACCCATGGGGAGGAAAAAGAGGAAATACAGGGAATGCAAGCGAGAGTTAGAAGAGCAGGTGATGTCATAGGAAGAAAAAGGGTTTTTCCTGAAAGTTCTCATTGCTACATTTACTTAAACTGACCAGTCTCTCAGGCGGTGGCACAAAAAGTTTACTTTATGTCAGATCAGTCTATTACTTTACATCAGATAGTCCATTACTATAAATAACTAATTTCAGTTAAGAGGGCACATTTTAAAAACATAACATTTCCAATATTACTGCTGAACTTTTTTGTAACTAAACTTCTCTCATCATATAGTGCTTTTATAGACACTATAAAGTTACAACTCAAAGCTACAGAGTTTGCTTTGCTGAAGTACAGCTGCGAGGTTTTTATGCCCAGGGGATGGTAAATGTATGGAACTGTGACACTGACGTCGGACTGTAAGGATATATTTTGTCTGTTCTTTCTATTTCAGGCTTTTAAAAAATCTTTTATTTACTCTAAGGTCTCAAAGTGGGTGACAAAAATCCTAAAATCACACAACAAATAAAATATATTTTAATACTCATGTAGAAATTCAGTGATGCATTTTCTGGGAACATTCTTAGGGAGAACACATTTACCATGGTATAACAGATTTTTAAATTTTTTTTTTATCTTAAAGAGAAAAAATTAAAATTTCAAGCCTAATATACTGCATTTTGTTATCTTTAGTTTCTCAGAGTACAAGATGTCTGCATTTAATTGTTCAAACAATATTAGCATAAAACTTGCTTTTCAATGAACTAAGAGAAATTAGTAGTATAACTATCTTACCTAATATCACATGTGTTATCTCTTTCAGACTTTCACCCTGGGGAGACAATACGATATTGACACACGGGAGTCTGACTTATGTCACCTATGAGCATGTTCTCTACTTGTATCTATTTACCTGTAAAAGTTTCAGGGTTATTCTTCTTTATTACTGAGTTGTACTCCACTGTATGAAAACTACCGTTTGTTTTCCCATTTTTAGATGTTTAGGTTGTTTCAAGATTTAGCTATTACAAACTGTGCTGCTATAAACATGGGTGCATATGTATTCCTGTGATATGATGTTTTTAATTTTTCTGGGAGAAAGTCCAGAAGGAGAATAACTGGGTCAAAATTTAATATATTAATATAGTGCCAATAAATTAACAATTTGCAAGTATATGAAATGAGAGGGCTCATTTATATATGTACGTGATCATTTCACATATATTTTGCTGATATAGATGATTTTAAGTACCAATTAGCATAATTCCTTCTTTCAGTATGAGTAAAGAAATTATTTTATGAGAATTGATGCTACGTAGTAACTGTATCAAAATTATTTAAATATTGAAGGCTTGTTTATACAGAACAAAGAATAAATCAAATAGCATGCCAATACCTATTTGAAGAAAAGATAAAAATCTTTACAGTAAAACCCAAATAGATCAGTATAGTAATAGCAAATGTCAAAAGACGATTTTATGGTTTTATACATGTTTTTCAATTCAAGTATACCTTAAATAACCCTAACATAATTAAATAACTGTAAAATGTAGTAACTCATTGCTATATAATTTGAAAAGATTTAGAGATTCTGAGATTAATTTAACAATTTCACATAAATAATAAGGCTGAAAATGTAAAACTTGCTGGACTTTTTTCTATTTTCATATTCCTGTAATAATTTCTTTTTATGTAGCTTTGCTTTGACTAATCTAATATTTTCATTTGGCTGTTTAGAAAAACTATAGTTTTGTGTGGCAAACAAATTTATAGAATCTTATCAAACGTGTGAAGATTTCATCTATATTATGAATCTTCTACATAATAAAATCTGATATTTTAGGAAGAACTGTTCTGGAACATTAGAAAAACACTGGTGTACTGAACACTCAACTAGATCCGTTTTAAAAACATATTTTCATGGTAGAGAGAGTAAGTACTGGGGCAGTCATATTAGAATTCCCACTGTTTATGACCTTGGGTATCACAGAACTTATTAATTAGACATCTTGTGTATTCTGGGACAATTTGGGCTAATGGAGGGAACTTTTAACAGAAAAACAAGAATTAGGCTTTTTATCCTATTTCTAGCATGTAGATTAATTAGTCATATAAAAACAAAGAACAGGAGAAATTTTTTCCTTTTAAAATAGCTCACATATTGAGAAAAAAAAAAACAGAAACAGCACTGTTGTTATTAAAATCATATTTAATTTTCACTCACCATTAGTGATATTGATGAGGGCATAAGGCAGCTTTTAACTGGAAAAACAAAACATCTAATATTAAAACAATATTTGAATGCCTACAACAAGTTCTCCTTTGAGCACCCTCTGAACATATTCAGTACCTGCCACACGATATGGTAAGGATTTCATCTATTAGCTCATTCAGTCATTAACTCCTTCTGATGGCCTACAAGGTTGTACGTGGTTTGTCCTTTGTGAGTTGCTCCAACTCTCTCCTCATTGCTGCCCAAATCTAGGCCCACAAGGGTGCTTACCATGACTCAGATGTACTAAGCACAATCCTCACTTACTTCCTTTGCTCTAGCTGCTCTTTCTTCCTGAAAAGTGTTTGCTCCCAGATATCTACCAAGCTGCCTTCCTCACTGCCTTCAAGTCCTTGCTCAAATGTTACCTTCTCAAGAAGACCTGTCATAACACCTGAATTAATGCTGCCAACTTCCGTCTCTCACCACTCTGCTTCCTAACTCGCCTCAGCCCCCCTTACCTGCCTTGCATCTTCTATCCCCTGTTGCTTACCAGCTTCTTCCATCCTGTGCAGTCTATTTCATTATTATGTTTAGTGCAGTGTCTCTTGCTTCCCATCCTCCATGACAATGGAGATTTTTGTCTATTTTGTTCTTGGATACAAGCGCCAGAACAACATCTGGTCCATAGAAGGCACTCAAATATTTGTGGAATGAAAGAATTTGGCAAATGCGTATCGAGTGTCTACTCTGTCTCAGGATTTTGTGCTTACCACTGGGAATAAAAAGAAGAACCAGACACAATCTGTAGCCCACAATAGTTTACGGTATAATTCCCAGGACACCTACCACAGTTTCTGGCTCAGTAGATTTTGGATGCAGCCTAGATATTTGCAAGTCTGCCTAACACAGCAAAGGTTTCAGATGTCCCCCATCCTCACCATGTCCTCCGGGGAGGCAGGGAAATTGTATTGTCATGAGATCTTTGACATTTAATACAAAACCTGAAACATACCGGGAACTGACTAAATGTTCCTCATTGATGAATGGATAATGTGATAAAAAAGATGTACTTTCCATCTTCTAAAAACTTATGAAAGGCAAAATTGGTACCAGTTCCTTGCTTACTATTTGCCAAAAGCACTTCTAACATAATAGAAATAAATGACCTATACATGGAACAGTTTAGTGATGAAAGAAGTGTGTGAATGTGGGAAAGATTCAGAGGAAGAATCATAACCTTCGGACCATTTTCTCTAAGGTGAGAATTGTTCTGGTCTTAAAAGTCACATCACAAAATTGATATTAGTGCTACCTTTAGATTTTATTTAAAAAGTCAATAAATATGACACAGTACATGCAGGAAAAAGTGGTGACATTTTTGGATAGAATGGACATTCCCGAGGGCTCTATAGCCATGTTAGACACTGCAGCTGCAAGTCACCAAGGACAGGCTGCCGTTACAAGTCCCAAGGTCCTCAGTGCCACCAGCAGAGCCACCTCTCTCCAAGAGAATGTGCAGCTAAGACTCTCACACTGATTGACTAAATCATAGCTTTGAATTATCACCATTGGAAAACTCAAAATTTTCCTGTCATCTTTTGATTCTGGAGCTGGGAAGTAAAATTGCTTAGCTTTATAGAAACTTTCATTTTGTTTGGAAAGGGAAGATTTGAAGTACAGCAATAAACTTTCACTATAGCACAGCTTGTCTGTGCTATAGTGAATTCAAATAAAACTTGGGTCTGTTATTGGGAAGAACAAAAAGCCTTCCATAACACAGATTTCATTCAGAACATCACAAGGATGATATTATGTTTACTCTGAGATGCAAGGCTATTCTCAGACAAAAGTTGAATGACTCTACTTTCTGTGAATCTAGACTTCTCTCTGTCTCTGTGTCTCTCTGTTTCTCTCTCCTCACTTACTACTTCAGATATCTAGGATTCTCATTTATCTCTCCTCTTATCTTGTTTATTTAATTAATTTTTAAATGTTGATTTGTGCATGTTTGCAGCACATAATAAACACATTCATTGTGAAGAGTTGGCAGATGCACTTAACATAGTTAAAATTTTTGTTTTACCTTTCCTTCCTCTTCTCTCCCCCACCATCTTTACATCTCCAGGTTCCCTTCTCATTTGTAAAAGATCTCTCTTCTTGCATCTATTATTTTTTATTTTGCTCTAAATTATTTATACTTTGGGGTTCTCATATAAGAAATACCATGCAATGTTTCCTGTATTCTTGGAGGATATACAAATAATATATCCAGATCAGAACACAATTTGAAGTTTTAAATCAAGGTAAACATATCTAACAGATGATCCAGAAATTTCACTTTCATTATTTTTACATAAGAGGATTAGAACGTTTCGCACAAAAATCTGTATGCAAATTTTATATCAGCCTTATTCATAATTCACACCAAACTTGGAAGCAATCCAGATGTTCTTCGACTAGAGAATGAATGATCTGTGTGATACATGAAAATGATGAAGTGCTATGTAATACAGAGGAATATTCTGCTCATGCAACATGGACAGATCTCACATGAATTGTCCTTCATAAAATACACTGGGCCCAGAAGGTTACAAACTGTATCACTGCATGTATACTTTAAACTTTAAGAAAATAAAACTATGGTGATTTCCAGGGGCTGAGATGTAATAAGGGATGGACTGAGCAGGGAAATGTGAGGGAATTTTTAGTTTGATGGAACCATCCCACATCTTTTGGGTGATAGTAGATACATGACTCTGTGCAACCATCATATGCAAAGTAATGTACAACAAAGAGTGAATTTCACTGTATAGAAGTTAAAAAATAAACTTACTTATGTAGTTCCTTTTCATATTCACTTTCCAGATAATAAAAGTGGAATGAAGGTATGTTAAAATATTTCGTCTTACATTTAAGAAACAGTTCCCATGGTTTAGTTGCAAAGTCACACCTGAACTTTTTTCATTAGATTTATTTTAAATGTTTAACAAGCACTAGAGTCTAAAGAAAAACACTTCCAGCTTTACAATTTTTTACATTGTGCCAAACCTTGCTTCTACACGTGTGTGCACACGCATATGTGTTTCAAGACCACTTTGTTTTATTAACAAGTTCTTTCTGAATAGAAATGTTTTTAGTTCCATTAATGGATTCCTCCTTCCCTCAGGTTATTAAGCTTGATAGAGATGAATGGTTTCAAATGCAGGTGGGCACAAGAAAATGACTAAGTCTTGAGGTCAATTCCCACCCAGGGTTGGCTGGCCCTTTATTCAAAATTATAGGCAGAAATTATGAAGGTGATCTCATACATGTGAAGGTGGGCCTGTGTTCTCTAGAACAGGTGCTAACAAAGAATTCAGACAATTGGAAAACTGAGTAAATCACATCTGTTCTCCTTTAGTGTGTACAGTTATCTGAAAATATATCAAGACTTTTTTGCAATACCTTGGGTATTATAAGTCATATTTAGAATTTTGAATTCTGGTTTTTTTTTTTTTTGTACCTAGGATCAAACTCACGACTTCATGCTTGCCAGGCAGGTGCTTAAGCCACTGAGATAAATTCTGGGTTCTAGCATTTTAATATAATCTAAATATAATCAAATCTAATATATATATTGGAGTGGTTATTCAAATCCAGATGATGGATTTCTCCTTTGCCTCTACCTCTTGGTGCTTGTGTAGCCTTTGGTAACCATTGGGTATTTTGGTAACCTTTGGATATTCAATGAATAATTAAGGAATGAATACAATGATGTTTTCTAGGTCACCAAATACGTGCTTTTGTCCAGATTCACTAATTCCTTGTGTGTCTTCTGCAGTAGAGAAATGATGTCTTGTATTTCCATTACATTGCAGGAATTTAGAATTAAAAAGTTAGTTACTTATGTAAAAATGGGAAATAATATGTAGGTGAGGATAATAGATGAATATAATATGACAATAATAACATATGGTGAGAATACTAACATTAAAAGTGATATTGTTAATTGTTTCATTTGCCTTTAATTTCACATAAATTCATTTCTGTAGATGTTCATAAAGGCTTCTTTACCATAGATTTTGATGGAGCCAAAAGGTAACTAGAGCAAGATCTGTTCACAGGGCTATAAACAGATGTGTTTCCAAGGAAATGAAATCCAGCACCATCAGACTTGAAGCTCATTATTTCACAACAGTCAAACTTTGCTTGGTAATAGAATCTTTAATTCAACTTGGGTGGGAGGTAGAGAGGGAGAAAAGAGGCAGGCTTAGAATAATGACTTGATTATTTATAAAGTCTCCACCAAAGGACCAGGGATTTAGCTCAGTGGTATAAAGGCCTGCCTGGTAAGTACAAGTTTATGAGTTTGATCCCTGGTACAAATAAATAAATAGTTGCCATCAAATCAATTCTCCTGTGGTGACTATTTCTCAACATCCTGATCCACCTGATCTGTCCACTGATTACATTTTCCTTTTGAGGGTAAGTTAGTCAATTGTTTAAAATATCCCCAATGCTATAGCTTAAAACTGAAAATAAAAAGAGCAACCACAGGGCACCTTGGGATGAATCCATTCCAGAGCCATGTGGTGTCATGTCCATCAGCCATGGTGACTGCCTTTGGTCACCTTCAAGCAATTAGAACATGCTGCTGTTTCTCTCTTGTTTGCATAATTTTACCTGGAAAATTAGAAAATCAAGCATTTCAGTTTCTAGATTCAACTGGGAACAGTTGAGCTGGCACCTGGAACAATATCCTTCAGGAAGGAATGTGATGATGATGATAATTATGATAATGAAATGATGGAGATTGCAATAATTAAGTAGGATTCCTTTGCTGAATGCTTTTGAGATGTCAGGCATTTGCTAGCATACTATATGCACTCTATGATTTATATCCCAAAGTTGTAAGAATTAGTTACCAAGTGATTCTCCTTCATTGTGATATGAGTTTCATGGCCAGCCACAGTCATCAATACTATTCCAGCTTTAGACCTTTTTCCTCTCTGTCT